CAGAACATCAGGAACTGGATCAGAACCAGAACACCAGGAACTGGACCAGAACATCAGGAACTGGATCAGAACCAGAACACCAGGAACTGGACCAGAACATCAGGAACCAAATCAGAACCAGAACACCAGAAACCAGACCAGAACACCAGGAACTGGACCAGAACACCAGGGACCTGATCAGAACTTTGGGAACCAGAATATCAGGAACCTGATTACAGAAACCGGAACAGAAGACCAGCAACCAGATGTGAACATCAGGAACCGGACCAGAACTTTGGGAACCACATCAGAACATCATGAACAAGACCAGAACTTTGGGAACTGGACCAGAATCAGGAACCTGATCAGAATATCAGGAACCGGATTAGAACTCTGAAAACTGGACCAGAACATCAGGAACCAGATCAGAACAGCTCCTCCTCAAGTTTGTTCAAACTGCTGAAATGATCTAGAACCTAAAGTTCAAAGGTTCTAAAACAAACTGCAGTGTGAAGCTGCACCAGCGCCCCCCTGTGGCCTTAAAGCAACACTGCAACCCTGATTTCTCTGCTCCTTCTTGGAACTGAACTGATCTCAGTCTGCTGTCCTCCACCTGGTCGGAGTCTTTCCCAGGATGAAGGTCTGCAGCTGAGCCTGTGAACGAAGCAGAGGGACGAACTCACCGTCTTTGGTGCTGAGACATTTCTTCAGGTTCTCATTAATGAGCGGCGTTTTATTCTGTAAGAAGATAAAGGAGAACTTTAGCTGATGATAACAGCAGGGGTGGATGGAATCATGAAGAAGCTTCACCTCCAGTCGGTCCTGGTCCTCCATGGCCAGAAACACGGCTGCCCTCATCTCCGCCTGGCAGAACAGACAAACCAAAGCAGGACAACATCAGGATATTAGCAGAGGGACGTTTATTTGCTGCAGCTTGAACTCCTCCTCAGTCACATTCTAGAAACTCAGGCAGGTCAGTCAGACGCTAACCCTGTCCAGCTTTTTATCTCGCCATTAAAAGTGATTTCTCTCCATTCTACGACGGTTTTTTCAACTGTTGATGACCCTGCCTTTGGCTGTGACTCCATCCTGGAGAGAAATATCAGCTGTGCTGCTGCCATCAACACCTTTGTTTC